AATAGTGACTAGTACACAGAAATTTGATGCAGAAGCTGAGTGTGGTGACATCTGTGATCCCAGCATGCAGAGGCAGAGGACTGGTCAAAGTTCAAGACCAGCTTAGTTTACATGTCAAGTTCAATGCAGCCAGGGCTTCAGACCAAGATCCTGTCTCAAAACACAGACAAAAAAGATTTGATGAAGAAATTTATAAACTAAAGAATAAATCTGGGAATAAGATGAAAATCAGGGGAAAGCTGCATATGATAATACATTCCTGTAATCTCAGCACTCGAGAAGCTGAGGCAGGAGAATTCAAGACAAGTGTATCTCAACACAAAAATAACAAAAGGCAGAGGGTAAAGTCATAAAAGTTCTGGAAGCCAGGAAACTTTAGGCTAGAACAATAAAGGACAGGTTAAGACTTAGAAAGGAAAGATTTCCAATATACAGGAACACCAGAAGTTCAAGATCATCCTCAGGTATATAGTGAGTCTGGGCCCAGCTTGGTCTACATGAGACTCTGTTTTAAGATAGATAAACAGACAGACAGAAAATAGGGCCCAGAACATGTAAATTATTCACTTGCGGCAACGATGACTCTTTATAACCAAGAATTTGACATGATCAAGTTATCAGTAAATTAAAGGTCAAGTTATCAGTAAAGTATTCTTTTTTTGTTTTTTTTGTTTGTTTTGGTTTTTTTGTTTTGTTTTGTTTTGTTTTGAGACAGGATTTCTCTGTGTAGCCCTGGCTGTCCTGGAACTCACTCTGTAGACCAGGCTGGCCTCGAACTCTCGAACCCAGAAATCTGCCTGCCTCTGTTATCAGTAAAGTAAATCAAGAATTTTTAAGGAGTAGTTTGCCAGGCGTGATGTGCACACTTGTAATCCCAGCTGCTTGGGAAATTGAGACAAGAGGATCCTGAGTTTAAGGCCAACCTGGAAAATCTATCAAAACCTTATCTCAAAAGAAAATTTAAAAACAGGGCTGGGGTTAGAAAGATAGCTCAGTGGTTAAGAGCACATATTGCTCTTGCAGAGGACCAGCACCCACATTGGGTAGTTCACAACCATCTATAACTCCAGCTCCAAGGAATCTCACACCCTCTTCTGGACCCACAGACACCAACACACTTGTATGTATATGCACATACACATGGTTTAAAATCAATCCTTTTTAAAGAAAAGACAAAGTAGCATCTCAACGCACATGGCTACTGTAAGTAATAAATCAAGGTAAAGACTTTAAATGGCAGCTGTCTTAAAGATTCCATCAACAGTGCTGTTTCCACCAGTAGTTTCTACCCTAAGCCTTTTATCTTGCTCTCCAAGGAAGAAGTTATTTGCCAGGCCAAAAGGTCGAACTGCTATTCCAAACTACATATGTACCAATGACATCTGATTTTTGGAAAATATAGGCATAATATTCTGAAGAATAAATCACGGCATGTGCCTTCTTCCAAAGTAGAAAAGTCCATCACTCCCATCTTAACCAGCCTTCTCTTTATTCTTTTCCAACTTGGACTCCAGAATAAGGGGTGTCAGTCAGACAGAAAGTGCAGGATGAAAGCAACACTGGTCTACATGCAAATCACAGCTTTTTTTGTAGGTTAAATCTTTAGTCTTTCAGCTATTTCCATTTCTATCATGACTTCCCGTAATCAACTTTAGATTTGTTTCTTGTGCCTCACTGCACTTCTCTCTCTCTCTTTCTCTCTCTCTCTCTCTCTCTCTCTCTCTCTCTCTCTCTCCCTCACACACACACACACACTCTCACTCATTCCAACACTTGCATACCAGCTTTGTAATGGGCTATTTGCATATCTATCCACTGGACTGTAAATTGATAAAGAGCCTGTCTACTAACTCACCTTTGAATTCCCAAGGCATGACATATAATAAATTCCCGTAGTTACATATTAATGATATAGGTCACCTTATCATTCACTAGGGAAAGCCTGAGCACAAACAGCAGAGGAGACATCAGTAGAAGGCACACAGACAGAGGTCTGTCAGGCCAGACCTCGTTCTTTCTTTCTTTCTTTTTCTTTTTTTTTTTTTTTTTTGGTTTTTTGAAACAGGGTCTCTCTGTGTAGCCCTGGCTGTCCTGGAACTCACTCTGTAGACCAGGCTGGCCGCGAACTCAGAAATCCGCCTGCCTCTGCCTCCCAAGTGCTGGGATTAAAGGCGTGCACCACCACTGCCCGGCGACCTTGTTCTTTCTAGAGCTTCATGATAACTTCCTGCTTCTCAAGTTACTTTCTTAAACTCATAAGGAAAAAACAGAACCAGTTCACAAAGAATTTCCTCAAAACAAGGATATATTCTTTCTTGGAAAATAACATAAGCAATGAGGGTTCTGGGACGAATGCTAGTGGCTTCATGTAAAGTTGACCTGTAGACCTAACACTGAAATATGTATCATCCTACTAAGAGTGCTTAAATCCTTAAAACACGAAGAAGCAAAAAGTCAAATCTTAGCCAAGCATCAGCGGCACACACATATAATTTCAGCACTCACAAGAGAGAAAGGGAGAGAAAAAGTCAGAGTTCAGTGACAGCATGTTTCCAAAAAGTCAGGCATATGAATGTTGGGGTTAGTGCTGCTATGTATTCAAATACTAAATTCTGTACCCCAAGATCTGGCTGTCTCAAGGTGAGCAAATTCCCATGTACACCAGCCTTTGCTGTGTAAACCTTGCTCCCTGATTTAAAACTAGTGGATAAATAAAACTAGGGTTAGCCAATTACTAGGGAAAATGTAGGCAGGGTTGAGTTACTGGGCAGGGGTTGCAGGTAGGGATGAAGAGAAGGAGAAAGGTGAGGGAGAGAGAGCTTAGTGAAGGAAGAAGGGGAAAGAGGAGGTCTCCACTAGACATGACGGACCAGGAACTTGTACCCAAAATTGCCAGAGCAGAAATAACCTAGGAAGACTCAAACAGCAAGTATTTGGGGAGCACAGTTGGGGATGTAGCCAGTTGAGCCATTAGAAAATTAGACTGGGGTAATTTACCCAGTAATTGCACTAAAGCTAAATGAATAAATCATAGTCTGGGTCTCATTCATTTAAAAGCTAGATAGGGATAGAAATATTCAATTAAGTTATATATGAAACCATCTCAGAGAAGAGCCATTACTAACAAACCATAAATTTTAATTTCAGTATACTCATTTATTATTCAAAATACCTCAATTAATAGCTGCCAACTGTAAACACAGAAACTTAAAGCTAAAAGGGGCCTTGAAAGGCTATTTCTACAACCACTTCACCTTTCCAACCAAGCAGCATTCAAACACCTTTAGTCTCTAGCAATTGGCAGGTAAGAAACTAGGCCACCTGTTACCTGTTAGTCTTGTGTTCTCAGTTTTTTCCAACCAGAAAGGGAAAACAAAGACAAAGTATAGACTCATACCATACCAAGTAACTACCATTACTTCCTAAACCTACTCCCCGCCTCAAACTATTCACCAATCTAAACTATATCGAAGCCATAGGAAGAGACTCTCCCTGACAATCACTACTCACTCTCCTAGTCCTCTGGTCTTAGCTCTATCCAAATGCTAGCACGCAGAAAACCACAAAGCAACTCTAAACTACCACTGACCACTTGGTCTCAGATTGTCCCTTATCTTTCTTACCTTCGTACTTTCCTTCAGAGCTCTGTACTTTTCATTTCTTTCGAGCTCAATGTCTCCTTCAAGGACCACTAGCAATTCAATACCCCCGATTGTTAAACGCCTATTAGATAAAGGGTTCATACCTTTTCAAGTTCACCTTGAAGGGACCGGTGCGAGAAAGGGGAGGATGAAACAGAATGGGAATGAATATGAAGGAGAAAACCATTCAACAACTGGAAAACTTTCCCTGGCTCTCTTCTGAGAACCACCACAATACTCATAATGCAATGCCTCTTCTATCCCATAGCTACACTGTACATGTTACAAGGGGAAGGTCTCTTGATTTTAAGTACCAAACACTTAACTCAGGATCTGTCACAGAAGTGAAAATGTTTGTTCAGTGAGCAAAATGGATTGTTTCTGTTACATGATTGTTCATTCATTCACAATTATTCATTCATTCCTTGACCAAAACTTTACAGAGCATGCGATATGTACAAACCTTCCAATATAAGAATAAGTAAGATGATTCCTACCTAAAATAATTAAAAGCTGTAATACTAGTATATTAGCATTGTGTCCTCAACCTCCACATCAAGCTCCTTTCCCACAGTGAAAGCCTCGGCCTTGCCATACAGAAGTCCACGCCCCTCCAATTAATGCTACCTCTTAGCCCCAGAGCCCTACCTTGGACCTCCGTCTAATAATCTCAAAATCTTTAACGTCTTTCCCTGGCCTCTGCCCTGACCTCCATCACTACCCTTAAAGTTACTGCCAATCTACATCACCATGAACGCCTCGGGGTCCCTGAGTCAGAAGCCCTCAGATTTCCCTCACAGAAAACCTGCCTCCCCTGTCAGCTCCCTCTTTCCTTAAGATCTTTCCCGTTTCTACTAGGACCTTCGGCTCCCATCTCTCACTTCCTCTCCCTCCACTTCCAAGCTGTCTTTCCTTTCTTGTCTCTCAATTCCTCTTACCTCATCTAGCTCCCTTTCCGCAACAGCACCTCCTCCAACCTCCACCTCCACCACTGCCGCCATCTTCACGGCCGGCCCCCACCCCGGTCCCCCGCGAGGCAGCTGCTTCCGCCGCTCAAGTGCTTGTAGCCAATCGGAGGCGCGGCCTGGGCGGAGCATCAAGACAGGCGGATGCCTGTGAGGAACTTGGAGACCATCTACCTGCTCTTTCGGAATTAAGAAGGGGCGACTCGTGCACTGCCAAGCTTCAGCAGGAGAACGTTCTCAGAAAACGAAAAGTTGTTCTTGTACTATTTGTGAACATTTCACCAGTCCTCACTGTGGAAAGGAAAAGAGAGAGTCCCTGAGTGCGCAAATTTCGCGACGCTCCCTCGCTTAGGACACGAGCAGAGACGCGTGTGCATTAAGAACTACATTTCCCATGCTGCACAGAGTCCGACCCGGAAATTTAAATCCCACTCGCTAAGGGCGGACTTAAGAGTGTAAAAATATATATAAAAACACAAACACGCGGGGTTTTGTTATTTTGTTTTTAGATGTAGTAACTGCTGTATTTCATCAGTGGAAGTCATCTTCCAGAAGCAGTGGCTTCTTTAGGACTCAAAACCCCGTTCCTGGGCTACAGTAGAAAGGCTTGGGGCCAGAAGGCGGAGGTCACGGAATTGGCGGGAAAATAAGATCGGAGCCCGGGAGCTGAGGCTACCACAACTTAAGTTTACGGACACCGGTGAGAAGGGTTGCGATTTGTCATCTGGAGAGGAGTAGCCGAAAGGGGGGAGGATGGCCAACAAGAAAATGAACAGAGCACCCAATTCCGGGGTCTTAAGCCTCAGAGAGACTAAGAGCTGAAGAACCGATTGGGACCTCAATGAGTAGCAGATAATTGCTAATCATCTATGTGTTTCTTCCTTTTACGTTAGATATGTGAGTAAGAATGAGCCAAAGAAAAACCCTGTTCTCCAGGAGCTCACAATCTGGTCAAGGGATAACCATATAGTTTGTTACTGAGAAGGCACTTGTTAAATACTAAGTGAGAATTGACAGAATGGAGCTGTTACTTTGAACTGATTAAGGTGTGTGTGTGTGTGTGTGTGTGTGTGTGTGTGTGTGTGTGTGTGTGTGTGTGTGACATTTTAAAGAGAATAAGTATTCCAAGCAGGGGCAATAGCATGAGAAGATAGGAAGAAAACTTAAATGATGAATAGATTAGAAAGCCATTGTGGGGGCTGGAGAGATGGCTCAGCGGTTAAGAGCACTGACTGCTCTTCCAGAGGTCCTGAGTTCAAATCCCAGCAACCACATGGTGGCTCACAACCATCCGTAATGAGATTGGATGCCCTCTTCTGGTGTGTCTGAAGACAGCTACAGTGTACTCATAAAATAAATAAATAAATAAATCTTTAAAAAAAAAAAAAAAGAAAGCCATTGTGGCTAGAGATGCATTAGGATTCATGGATTTACATGAGTAGGATATTGAAAAAAAAGTCAGCTCTGATGGTATATGTTATGCTTGAGGCCGAGGCAAAATTACTTGATCAAGACAACCCTGGCATGAGCACAATGCCTGAGATCCCAACATTTGGGAGGCAGAGGGATCTGGAGTTCAAGGTTGGGCTAAACAACATAGTAAGACCTTCATCTCAAAAATCATTTTGGGGGGCCAGCAAGAGTGTTGGAACTTGTTGGAGCTGGAGATATGGCTCAAAGATTAAGAGGACCTTTTCAGAAGATCAAGGTTTAGTTCCCAGCACCCTCATGACAGTTTGCAATCATTTGTTTAACTCCGTTTCCAGGAGATCGGATACTCTCTTCTGGCTTCCTCCAGCACTAGGCACACATGTAGTACATATAGATACATGCAGGCAAAATACTCTTACGTATAAAATATAAATTCTCTGGGGGGAAGAAAAGATGGCTCAATGGAAAAAGGCGTGCTGCCAAGCCTAGTGGCCTGCATCCCATCTCCTGGACCCATATGGTAAAGTTTTAAAAAATAAATTTAATAAAAAATATTGAGTAGCTTGGATTGCACTGCAGATACAAGGTCAGCCAGGAATATGTAGCAAGATCATGTCTTTAAGTCGGGCGGTGGTGGCGCACGCCTTTAATCCCAGCATTTGGGAGGTAGAGGCAGGCGGATTTCTGAGTTCAAGGCCACCCTGATCTACAGAGTGAGTTCCAGGATAGCCAGGACTACACAGAGAAACCCTGTCTTAAAAAACCAAAAAAAAAAAAATCATGTCTTTAAAAGAAAAAAATTGAGAGACCCTTACCGAAAGACATTCAGATATCGTTAAAACATTTGTTACTAAAGAATAATTGAACCTGAATGATGAATACATAAAATTTCATTTACTTTCTTGTATTTTGCATATATTTAAATTTTTAGCCTAGGCTAAGCTTGGTGGTGCATTCCTTTAATCCCTGCACGTGATAGATAGAGATGAACTAGTCTCTGAGTTTAGATGCCAGCCTGGTTTACAAAGTAAGTTCCAGGACAGTCAGGGCTGCTCTACAGGGAAACCCTGCCTTGAAAAGCCAAAAACTAATAAATAAAATTTTAGTCTGGAGAGCTGATTAAGTGAGTAAAGTTATGTTTTGTGTGTACTGAACCTGAGTTCAGATCCCCAGCACCCACATAAAAATTCCAGGAGGCTGGTTGTGGTGGTGAAACCCTTTAATCCGTGCATCCTGGAGGCAGAGGCCAACCTGGTCTGCATACCAAGGTCTAGGCTTACCAAGACAGTATTTAAATTAAATTAAAAAAAAAAAAAGGCAGCAGCTTGTTGGTGTCTATAACCTCAACACTGGGAAGTAGAGAGAGGAGGGTCCTGGGGATTTATTGGCAAACCCTCCTAGCCAATCTTTGAGCTAGGCTAAGTGAGAGTCAAAAGCTCCTGTCTCAAAAAAGTAAAGGGGAGAATGATAGAGGACACCTGACACCACAGGCCTTGAGAATACATACATCTGTGTGCACTCATAAAACATTTCTGAGCTTTGTATGGCAGCTCACACTTCTAATCACAACACTTGGGAAATAGAAGCAGAGTTTCTGAGTTCAAGATCAGCCTGAGCCACATAGTAAGTTCTATACTCACCTGGGCTACAAAGTGAGACTGTATCTCAAACCAAAACAAACAACAACAACAAAAAAGCAAACCAAAAATGTTTAGCAAAAGACCAACTACAATGCCCAGATGAAAATATGTGCTTATTTATTTATGAATAGGTTCTTGCTATGTTGCCCAGGCTGGCCCTGTAAGGATATTTTTTTTATTCTCCTGTAGTAATTGTCGTCTCTGAGGCTTACTGCCTCCCTCTGCTAACCTAGGCCTTGTCCTAGAAGCTTCTAGCGTCTGTACAGTCTTATCTGGGTCTACAATATTTTCAGCCTCTGATATTTACTGTTGAATAAGCTCATCCTTTCTAGTTCTTTCTGAACTCTGGCTGGCTGGTTCATCTCAGCTGCTCTGGCTCAAACTCCTCCCCAGACTGACTGATTCAATTTGGCTTCTTTCCACTTCTCACTGAATTGACCTGCTTGGCCTCAAACTAACTCTAGCAATCTGTTATTTTCTGGCTTGTCATTCCCTAGCGTTGTCCTTCAATCTGTCTGTAAAACTCTGTCAATAAAACAGCCTCCTCCCTCCCTCCCCTTGCACTGTTCCCTCTTAAGTAGCGACTCTTTCCTCTCTGTTCTCGTGAGAGCTGAGCATATCCTATTCTGTCAAATCTTTCTCTGATTCGTTACTTTGTCTGCCTCTAAATAAGATATCACTTTCAAACATGGGTGCTTCCTTCTACAAACTAACTTTACCTTCATTGTTTGTATTAAAGCTAACGGCTGAGCCACACCACAACTAGAAACTGTTTTTCCTTTCCAGTAAATGACACAATCTCAGGGTTCACAGTGTGATCAGTGCAATCAAATATCCTACAATATGCCCCAAAAATTCACCTCACCCTCCCCCATAGCTGGGATAATGGGTGCATGATGCTATACCTGGCTCCTGTGAGCTTTATTTATTTATTTATTTATTTATTTATTTGGTGTACAGTTGGTGTTTGGCTGTGTGAGGGTGTCAAATCCTCTGAAACTCGAGTTATAGACAGCTGCTATGTGGGTGCTAGGATTTGAACTCAGGTCCTCTGTAAGAGCAGCCAGGAACCATGTAAAGACAAAATAACTTAGAAAAATACCCATCTCTCAGACCCAAGAATATTTTATTTTGAATAATGGTCTGCTTATGTAACCCCAGGCTATCCTTGAACCTGCTATGTAGCACAGGCTAGCCTTAAAGTCTCTGTCCTCTTGCTTTAGCCTCCCAAAAGCTGGGATCATAGGCATAGGACACCATACCCACCTTGGAGGAATGAAAGCCAATTTAGGAAGATTAATTGAAAAGACAAAGCAGAGTTATATAATGTATTTAGTTGTACATTTATTATGTCCCAAGGCCGTAGAGATGGATGACTTACGGCACCATTCACGTTCTTGGGAGCCACTTAAATATAAATCCAACATTACTGTAATAATAGTTTGTTGGTTTGTTTTAATTTGCTGCTCTGTTTCCCTGAAGCTGTCTCACAGTTGGGGGGGAGGGGGGAATGTCTGTAGGTGATTCGGATCTGCTCCCTGCATGCCCTGATGGCCCTGAGAAGTGAGGCAACTGCTGTAAGTAAATAATTCTTTTTTTTTTTTTTGAGACAGGGTTTCTCTGTGTAGCCCTGGCTGTCCTGGAACTCACTCTGTAGACCAGGCTGGCCTCGAACTCAGAAATCCACCTGCCTCTGCCTCCCAAGTGCTGGAATTAAAGGCGTGCGCCACCACCACCCGGCTCAGTAAATAATTCTTGTTTTCAAAGAAACAAGAGTGAGTCCAGGGATAGCAGTTTACGCCTTTAATCCCAGCATTTGGAGGCCAGAGGCATTCGGATCTCTTTGAGTTTAAGGCCAGCCTATTCTACAGAGTGAATTCCAGGACAAAGAAACCCTTTCTCAAAAAAAAAAAAAAAAAAAAAAAAAAGAAAAAGAAAAGAAAAAGAGAAAGGAGAGAAAAGTAGCTTATTTTCTTTTTTCTTTCTTTTTTTTTTCCAGGAGTAATGTAAGGATTCTTGTTCTCCCAAAAGCTACCAAGAGCAAAACATAGACAGTGCCACCGTGGTTACAGAAGACATCCTGGGAGGAAGCATATCTGCCTCACACTTAAGGAAGCTGGTGGCCTCCGATGGCTCCTGTGAAGATCAGTCATGTGGTGTCATTTTCCTCTCAGGTATATTAGTCTCTCTCCACAATCGCTCTACTCTTGGTGGTTAAAGGAAATGGATAAATACAGGAGACTTGCTTTGTAACTAGCTGACGAAGCCCTGGGCCTATCTATACCACAGTCCCTAGGTGGCAGTTTGGTCATTCTGCTATTGAAATTAATCAAGAATACTCAAGGCCATGCTTGACCTATGAGGACCACCATCAAATATGCTCACTTTCTGAATGTCTGCAGCCTCCATCTTTGCTAGATCCCAGGCTTTGGGCCCAATGCCAGTCTCATGGGAGATTGTTAGAGACTCCCACCAGTCATTTGTTTCATCCATTGTCCCCCTCTTTCCTTCCATTGCACTGATCTTTTTTGATGGGTGCCATTGACATTTGAGTGTCTAAGTGTATTTTACAGCAGTACCATTGTCATGGTAGAATATTAAGCATCCCTAACGGCAATATTACTGCGTGGTGGTTATGACGGTCAAAAGTATCCCCACACGGGGCTCCAGAGATGGCGCAGTGGTTAGAGCACTTGCTGTCTTGCAGAAGACGTAATTTCAATTCTTAGCACCTATGCAGTGGCTCACAACCATACCTAACTCCAGTTCCAGGGAATCCAACAGCCATGTAAGTAGTGAACATGCATGTATCCTGGCAAAACAGTCATACACATAAAATAAAAGTAAATAAGTAATATTTTTTAAATCCCTGCACATTTCAGAGAGCTTCCTTGGATGGTGCTTAGGAACTACTATATTAAACCACAAAATTAACTAAAAAGTATTTTCACCCTCCTTACCTGCAAGTCAGTTTGAACTCTCCTCAGTGTCCTTCTTCTCCTCTTTTTATTTTTTTTTTGAGTTTTTTTTCCCTTGTTTTTTATTTTTTTTTGGAGACTCGCAACATATCCCTGACAGGTGCCACACTCTATATATACCAGAATGGCCTCTAACTCAAAAAGATGTACCTGCCTTTGCTCCTGAGTATTGTTTGCTTTTGTAGGTTTGTTTGTTTGTTTGTTTGTTTGTTTGAGAGAAGATCTTGGCCTGTAGCCCAGGCTGGCCTTGAATTCACCTGTGTTTCCTTGGTTGGCCTCCAACTCTCAAATCATCCTGATTTAGCCTTCTGGGTGCTGGAATTATATGTACTGCCATACCCACCTTCAAGTGTTTGGTCATAGATTCTTCTAGAACTCTGTAAAGACTGTTCTAGAAGCTGAAGAGAAGGATAAAGGCATGTCTGTAACCTCCCTCCCCAACCCATATTTTAGAGCTTTACTTTTATTTTATGAGAAAAACATTGACACACATGTGAAATTAACTTTTAAAAAGAAAGATTTTATTGCTGAAACAAACTGAAAAAGTACAATCTTTTGTTGGTTGTAGTGGTACACATCTATAATTCTAACTCTTGGGAGGAGTTTATTATGTCTGAAGCTAGCCTGGGCTATATAAACAAAAAATCTTATTTTATAGAATTATTTTGGAGGTAAATAAATGTCTGTGTAAAGGTCTTATGAATAAAGAACTATTACTATAGCATAGTATTAAAAGCTCTGATTTTAGAAATTTGGGATTGGCCGGGCAGTGGTGGCGCACGCCTTTAATCCCAGCACTTGGGAGGCAGAGGCATGCTAATTTCTGAGTTCGAGGCCAGCCTGGTCTACAGAGTGAGTTCCAGGATAGCCAGGGCTATACAGAGAAACCCTGTCTTGGAAAACAAAAACAAAAAAACCAAAACACAAAATAAATAAATAAATAAATAAATAAATCACAAAAAAAAATATAGAAACTTGGGATTGTGTTTTGCTCTGTAATTTAGCTTGAAGGTTTTGGGTTTTTTTGGGTTTTTTGGTTTTGGTTTTTTTTTTTTGTTTTTTGTTTTTTTTTTTTTTTTGGCTTTTTCGAGACAGGGTTTCTCTGTGTAGCCCGGGCTGTCCTGGAACTCACTCTGTAGACCAGGCTAGCCTCGAACTCTCGAACTCAGAAATCCGCCTGCCTCTGCCTCCCAAGTGCTGGGATTAAAGGCGTGCACCACCACTGCCCGGCATTAGCTTGAAGTTCTGAGTCGGTTTTGAAGCTCCCCCAGCCCTGCCTCCCATGCTTCAGTTTATCTTATTAAGCAGAAGTAGTGATAAGAACCCAAGAGTCCTTAAGGAGGATTAAATGAGGTAGTCCAATAAATAAGTTAGAGGTGATTGCCTGTGGGTCAGGCTGCCTGAGTTCCTGTGGATGCTCCTGGTGCTTTCTGTCATGTGGAGGGGCCTCAGCAGGTCTGGAATTGTAGACATCTCTTATTCTTAGGTGTCATATTTTCCCTTGTGAGCTCAGAAACCCTCCTGATTTCCCTCTTCCTCTCTCTGATATAGGATCCCAAATATCCTGTGGAGAACTTGCTGAACCCGGACAGTCATAGGGGACCTTGGCTCAGCTGCCCTCAGGACAAGACAAGGCAACTGAAAGTGGAGTTTCAGCTGGAGAGGGCAGTGCCCATAAGCTACATTGATGTTGGTGAGTGAATTTTCAGGGCTTTTGGGACCTCTGAGGAATGAGATGACCCTTCCCACTCCCCTCTGCTATCTCAGTTCATTCTGGCTGAATGGCCTTCTGTAATAAACCCTGCCTAGGTGTGAGGGGAATATGATCCTTGCCCTTGGGGAAGGTTTGGTGTTGAAGAACCCCAGCGTCTTCATTCATAGAGAATACAATATGGAGCAGAGGCTATAGCTCAGTCGGTAAAGTACATGAGGACTTGGTTTGAGTCCCCAGAACCTACATTCAAAGCTATGCGTGGGCATGGGAGACTGCTCAGTAGGAAAAGCTCTTGCCATACAAGTGTAAGGATCTGAGTTCGAGTTCCCAGAATCCATGAGAACCAGATGGGATAATCCACATCAGTAACCCAGTGCCTCTATGGAAGACAGGAGGGTCACAGACAAGCTAGTGTGACTAACACAACACACACACACACACACACACACACAGAGTATGGTGGCATACTTCCTATAATCCCAGCTCTTGGGGGTAGAGATGAACTTCTACCTGGAGATCACTGATAGGAGATCACTGCATAGTTGAATGTCAACTTGACACAAGCTGCAGTCATCTGAGTGGAGGGAGCCTCAATTAAGAAAATGCCTCCAGTTCAAGGCCAGCTTGGTCTACAGAGTTAGTTCCAAAAGAGCCAGGGCTACATAAAGTAACCCTTTCTCAAAAACCAAACAAAAGAACAAAAAAAAATAAGTGAAAGAAAGAAAGAAAGAAAGAGAGAGAGAGAGAGAGAAAGAAAGGAAGGAAGGAAGGAAGGAAGGAAGGAAGGAAGGAAGGAAGGAAGGAAGGATGAAAGAAAGGAAGAAAGAAAGAAAATGTTTCCGTAAGATTGGGCTGTAGACAAGACTGTAGACCATTTTCTTTCTTTCTTTTTTTTTTTTTTTTTTAAATATTATTACCTGGGCGGTGGTGGCGCACGCCTTTAATCCCAGCACTTGGGAGGCAGACGCAGGTGGATTTCTGAGTTCGAGGCCAGCCTGCTCTACAGAGTGAGTTCCAGGACAGCCAAGGCAATACAGAGAAACCCTGTTTCAAAAAGCCAAAAAAAAAATAAAAGAAAAAAAAAGAAAGTGTAAGCCAAAGAAACTCTTTCCACCCCTACTTTGCTTTGGTCACAGTGGCCTCCTTGGCAAGCTCCAGGCCAGTAAAAGACTGTTTTTAAAAGACTAGGTGAGGGTATTGGCGAGAGGGCTGAGTGGCTGCTCTTCTCGAAGACATAGGTTCAATTCTTAGTACCCTCATGGTGACTAACAAACATCTGTAAGTTCAAATCCAGGAGATCTGACTCCTTCTTCTGGTGTCTGAGGACACCAGGCACACAAGTGGTACACAGATATGTATGCAGTAAATACACATATAATAAAACAATTAAAAAGATGGACAGCACCTGAAGAACACCAGCGGAAGCTGTCTTCTTGCTTCCGTGTATTGGCAGCAAGCACACATATATGCATCCACTAAAGAGAGAGTTATGCTGTGAACTCCCTAGCTTCCATTTGTACAGACTGGATAAAGCCTTAGGGTGCTGACATAATAATAGATACCAAATATATGTAAAATATCTTTAGAGAAGTATAAGGTATTATATATCATATACTACATATGATATATAATATATGCATGTTTTATATAATTGTATAATTAATTATGTATAAATATAATGAATGTATGAATATATTTATTATTTTTATTTATAATATAAATAAATGTGTTTATATTATACAATATATACATTCTATACATATATTATATATAATTATATAAATAATACCTTATACATCTCTGAAGTCGGGGGAATGAAGGTGAAATGTGCATTGGCATTTATAGATTACAAAAGTTGATGCCAGGTATGATGGTACATCACTTTAATTCAAGCACTTGAGAGACAAGCAGTCACATCTCTTGTGAGTTTGAGGAGCAGCCTGGTCTACATAAGTGAACTCCAGGCCAGCCAAGGCTATATAGGAAGGCTGTCTTAACAGAAACAAACAAACAAACAAGTTGGCTTTAGAATTCTTCAGACTAAAGAATGGTTAGAGGCCACTGTCTTGGCTTTCTTGGGACAGAAAGATGTTGGTTCCCTTCCAGAGAGCAGTGCCTCCCAGGGCAGGTTTCAGGCTGAGATGGAGTGTCCCCTTCCCACCCCATGCTGTCACCTACAATCATCCTCATCCATATGCCGCTTTTTGTCCTCAGGTAACTGTGGCTGTGCTTTCCTACAGATTGACGTGGGTCGTTCTTCCTGGCCCCTGGACAGACCTTTCGTCACCCTGCTCCCTGCCACCATGCTAATGTCCCTCGCTGACTCAAAGGAGGGGAAGAACCGCTCAGGGGTCCGAATGTTTAAAGATGGTAAAGAGGGCCAAAGCAGAAAGGCAGGTGCAGTGTAGAGGCAGGTATTAGTGCTGCTGGGTACAGACTGTGGGAGGGGCCTGTGCAAGCCTTAGCTGCATCTGTTAGGAAAACAGGGTAAGCTAATGTTTGTGTGAGTTCTGCCTGGAGACAATGTTGGGGGTATTTATGAGTATGATTTATGTATTTACCTGTGACTCATTAGTGTCTGAGTCATCGTGTTTCAGAGTTTTGGTTATTGTACAGCCCAGGCTAGCCTTAACTACTTCCTGTTCTAGCCTCTCAGGTGCTAGAATTTCAGGCGTATACTACTGAACCCATTTCAATATATATATATATTTTTTTTTTTTTTTTTGGTTTGGTTTTTCGAGACAGGGTTTCTCTGTGTAGCCCTGGCTGTCCTGGAACTCACTCTGTAGACCAGGCTAGCCTCGAACTCTCGAACTCAGAAATCCGCCTGCCTCTGCCTTCCAAGTGCTGGGATTAAAGGCGTGTGCCACCACCGCTCGGTTCAATATATGTTTTTATTTGAATAATTGTGTTTAATTTCTAGCATGACAAAAAAGAAAAAAAGTATAGAATAAATTTTGCTGGCTATATTTATATAATATATAGTTTTTCTTAAATTCTGCTTATGTAAATCTGTGTTCACTGGGCACTGTAACAGATGCATAAGATATGATTCCTGGACTCTCAGGAATACAGTCTGTCATCTGTTTAAATTGGACATTTTTGTCTTGTAGAGTAAGAGTGAGATTTTGGAGAGGCTTTTGAGGTATAGGGAATGATACACGGATTGGATTATGTGAGGAATCAAAAATGTGAAGTTTGGGGGGCTGGAGAGATGGCTCAGTGGTTAAGAGCACTGTCTGTTCTTCCAGAGTTCCTTAGTTCAATTTCCAATAACCACATGGTGGCTCACAACCATCATTAGTGAGATCTGGTGCCCTCTTCTGGCCTGCAGGCATACATGCCGGCAGAACACTGTACATACTAAATAAATAAATCTTTTTATTTTTATTTTTTTTAAAGTTAGGTTTGTGGTATTGGTGTTTGATACTGTGGAGGCAGCATAGAGTAGGTAGGGGTGTGTGGGAGGTTGCAGCCTCGTATTCAGGAAGATGGAGACTGGTGTAGAACTATGATTGAGGAGTGGTTAGAAGACAAGGAACTAGGCTGAAAGGGCCCTGCCTCACCTGTCTTCCAAACCTTTCCCTGAGCAACACAGCCTGAAGAACACATACTGGTGATCTCCATTCTTCCTCTTGTTGGCATTTACTACGTGTAGGCCTTGTCTTTCCTTTCTTCCGATGTGGTCAGTCTCCTTTCCTGCCTTCTCTGTTACTCGAGTCCATGCTTGCATACACACGTGTATTTATGTAAATTTGAGAGGGGCATGTATATATACTTGTACCTGAGGAGGCCAGAAGAGGGTGTGGGATCCCTGGGACTAGAATTACAGGTAAACCACATGACAGGGGTGCTAAGAACTGAACTCTGGTCTTCTATAAGAATAGCAAGTGCTCTTAACTACTGAGCCATCTCTCCAGCCCTTCCTTTTTCTCTGATTTTTTTTTTTCTTCAGATGATTTCCTCACTCCAGCCTCAGGAGAATCATGGGATCGGCTTCGACTGACCTGCTCCCAGCCTTTCACACGCCATCAGTCCTTTGGCCTAGCCTTCCTACGAGTGCGGTCCTCTCTGGACTCTCTGGCTGACCCTATAACAGATCCCTCAGCCCCTGGGAGCTCTGGGCTTAGCCAGGTATGTTCAGTGGTGGGGAGAGGATTTACTTTTCTCTAACTTTTCAGTTCCTAGTTAGAACCTGATACTTGATTAAAGAAAAGTAAACAGAGAGAAAGAGAATATAAGGTTTCCTGTGTGTGAACTAACGACATGACTGATCCATGGTGTGGTTAAGTGAACAGGTTTTATTGTAGATATGAGAAAGAGAACAGCCAGAGCCACTCAGAAGTATCCAGAAGGGAAAGTAGACTGGACAGAGCCAGTAGACTTGACCTGGCCAGGGCTATCTGAGAGACAGAGAGAGACAGAGACAAAGACAGAGACACTATAGCAAGGGATAGCAAATAGAGCATAGTGAGAGAAACATGGGCACAGGAGAGAGAGGGAGAGAGAGTAGCCATAGCAAGACCAGAGAGTTTAGGGGAGGAGAGGAGAGAAGGGCAGGATGCTAGCTAGCATGGACTGTGACATATGTAACAGGTACTCCTGATACTGATGTAGCATAAAGGCCATCGTGTACCTTGGTATGCTAATATGCACCACAGACAGCCATTTGTCCTTTCTGCCAGTGATAAGAGAAATAATCCCTTTTGATAGAGGGATCCTACCCCTCTACCAAAGTTTTACAAGTTCCTGAGCCAGAAATCCTCCTAGAGTCCAGGTTGAGCCCATTTCTGGATATTTGGACTGCCTTTTGAAGTTTGCAAAATTGGAGTCCGCTTTGGACCTAAACACCCTGGTTTTGTGGAATAAATTCCTCTCTTTTCTTTTACAGAGCAGAGATGTGAATGAGCCTTGAATACAGTCTACACAAAGCTGTTGGGCCATTTGTTCTTTAGCTATGCTGAAATTGTTTTTGGATCTCAACTTAACCTCATATGTTATTTCTGGGTTTGCAAGGAGTTCTCTCTTGAAAGCCCCAAGGCAGCCCCACTGCCTTGCAAAGCCCTTAATCTGAGCACTTGGGAGGCAGAAGCAGGTGGATCTCTTGTGAGTTTTTGTTTTGAGACAGGGTTTCTCTATAGGCCCTTGCTGTCTCTGTAGACCAGGCTGATCTTGAACTCAGAGGTTAAAGGTGTGAGCCATCACTGCCTGGCACTGGAATAATATTTTAGTTTTTTGGTTTTTGTTTTGTCTGTTTTTGTGTTTGGGTAATTTGAGTTTTTTGTTTGTTTTTCGAAGCAGCGTTTCTGTGTCCTGGAACTCATGCTGTAGAGCAAGTTGTCCTCAAACTCACAGAAATCCGTCTGCCTCTGCCTCCCAGGTGCTGGGATTAAAGGCATGAGGCAACACTGTCAGGTGGAATAATGGCTTTTTAAATGTCCAGATTAAAGTATATTTTATTTTTTTGAGACAAGACCTTGCTCTGTAGCTCGTCTTAAACTTTTGATAATATACACTATACAAGTTCTTTTTTTTGTATAAAGTATGACATAGATATATATTTTAAAAGTTTACAAGAGACAAACTCAAAAGTTTGCATATTCCATTAGTCCCCATGGGCCGGTTTCACCCAATAGTGTGGATTCTTTTAGTCCCAGAGCCCTTCTGATCATGACGAAACCCTGAACATAAAAAATCTCAGCATTATAGATTGCTCACTGCAGGTATAGTCAAATTTGTTCCTAGGCAGCAGTGTCCTCTGCTGGTGAGTCTGGGTATTCTTCTCCATTTTCTCCTCAGAACTCTTCTGATGTGCTGGAGTCTGATCCTAGCCCCTGGCTGGCTAATCCTTCTATCCGGAGGACATTCTTCCCAGATCCTCAGACGTATGTACCTGCTGTTGATATTTCTCCTGTAAGGAAAAGACCATAGGCACAAAAACCTATCCCGTGGTCCCCTGGTTAATCACTTAAGGTCTAAACATGTCAGAATAGCAAACTGTGTTTCTTGGTTCAAGTAAGTAGAATAATGTCTGTATTCTGAGTGAAACCAAATACTCTTTCTCTGCAGGAGCACCAAGGAAATTTCAGAGCTCAAGGGAATGTTGAAGCAATTGCAGCCAGGGCCTCTGGGGCGGGCAGCCCGCATGGTGCTTTCTGCTGCCTGTAAGGCACCTCCAACCAGTGTCGTAAGCCCAAACAACAGCCATGGAGAACCAGGTCCCAGTCATCCAGAGAGTGCAGGTGAGGCCCCATGATATGCCCTTACTGTGCCTAGCATTTCCTTCTTTCCTGACTCTACCACAGTGTACTGGAGTAGCTCACTGCCTTCAAGGGAAAGGGAGAAAACTGTCATGGAAAAGAGAAATTAAATCTTACATAATAACTAAAAGAACACTGGCCTAGGAATCAGGAATCTTTGTCTTTGCCTCAGTTTCCTCATGTTTATAGGAAAAGGGTTAAACCAAATAAACCCAAGCCAGGTGCAATATTAGCATTCTGTGATCATCTCAGAAGGGCAATTATGGTGAATTCCTCAATCCCAATACTTGGGAAGTGGAGGAAGCAGAAGGGTCAATAGCAAGATCATTCTCAGCTACATAGAGAGCTGCAGGCCCGCTTGAGTAACACAAGACCCAGTCTCGAAAGAAAAGAAATGTCTGTGGTCACCTAGGGCTCTCCTGGAGAGGGCGCTATTCCAGCTCATTCCAGGAGGTTGGAAAGTCCTCATCTCAGAGTGTGGCAGCTATTTCATTGATGACAAACACAAGGGAAGGACAGGGCCAGCCAGAAGTCACAGCCTTTTTACCCCCGAGATAAGATTTCTCATCACTTAGCTCTTGGCTGGTCCAGAACTCACAGGGACGCCCTTGCCTCTGCCTCCCCCGTGCTGGTTTACAGGCATATGTCACCACATTCTAGCTTTTTGCAGCCCACTCACAGATACTACCATTTGTTAGATACCCTCCTCCACTCAGAGGGGCTCTCAGTACAAGCAGGCAGTAGGTAATGGGGGTCTGAGGCTGTAAAAGTCTATAATTTTTTAAGAAGAGACTGAAACCAAGCATTTGAGAATTTGGGGATATCTACTATTGATAAGGTACTGAGATTCTGTAAGCACTTTGAAATACGTTCAGGGCTGCACCAAGTGTTTCTGAATAGAATTACTTGGAAACAAACAAACAAAAAAACAACACAAAATTCTGAATAAAATTACTTGGAAACGGAAAAGAAAACAAAAACAAAAAACAAGTGTTTCTGAAATTCCAAATAAATGAGTAAATTTAACTTACTTATGTTAACATTCACTTGACAGATATTTCTATGTGCTAGCCTCGTATAGTGCCAGAAATATCTATAATAAATAAAATAACAGAGCTCATATCTTAATAAAGAAACGCTGTCTGTGTCAAACAAGGAAACCTAAAGCTAAACTATGATAAATACTTTGAAGGAAAAGATCATAGAATGACAAGGTTTCAGTCAGAGAATCCAGGGAAAGGCCTGTAGGAATAAGTATTTCATCTCAGATGAAATGCAAATTTGAACGAGAAAAAAAATTAAGATAGAATATCTCAAAAGAAAAGTTAAAATGTGGAGGTCTTTTGTAAATAGCTACACTGTTTGTTTGATTTTCTTTTTCAAGAAAATGTCTCACTATTCATCCCAAATTGACCTTGAACCTGCTGCCCTCCAGCCTCAGCTGCCTTAGTGCTGTACCTACAGGTGTGTGCCACCATGTCTAGGGTGACAAGAAATTACTAACCAGCATTTCTAATGCAGAGCCCAGAGCAGAAGAACCAAACAGGAAGAATGATGCAAGCAGAAGGAAGAGGAGGAAAGTGCGGGAGCAAAGGAGGTAGGCAGAGTCATCCCCCACCTGCTGCTCTCTCTCCTAAAACCTTCCCTGTTCATCAGACTTGAAGACAGGCAAAAACTGGCCCTATAGTGAACCAGAATCAGAAGATATGCACACTGCATGTGATCAAAATGTAAATCTTATATCTCAGGCCTGTAATCCTAGCATTCAGGAAGCTTGCACGTTTGACTATTTCTAGGACTGCTGGACTACTGGGATGTACAGCAAGTTTCAGGCCAGCCTGAAATCAGTGGTTGCTGGTGTCTGTGGGGACAGACAGACAAATGTGGAGTGACTAACATGCATTTGGAGTTACTTTGGGGGTTGATAAAAAAAAGTCCTAGAAATACTCTTAGTTACTCAGCTTGGAAGTATCTTTAATCCATATTTCCAAAGACTAATTTTATGGTATGTATGTAATATCTCAATTTTAACATTAAAAAAAAAAATGCCCGGCATGGTGGGATTTGACTTTAACCCCAGGAGTTGAAAGGCAGAAACAGTCAGAACTTGAGTTCTGGGAAAGCCTGGTCAACCTAGCTTTGTATGGCAAGTTCTAGGCTATACAGGGCTACATAGTAAGACCCTACCTCAAAATTAACTAATTTTTAAAAACTGAGGCCAGTGATAGAATCTCTGTTGTCAAATGCTTAAAGGTTAACTGCCTTCCTCCAAGTCTGTCATACAAATGGGAAAGCAAGAACTCTGAGTTACTGTTTTCACTCCCTTCTCCATGCTTCTCATGTGGATTCTATACCTTCAGCCTTTGTAGTCTCTCCCAGATAGCTGGCCTTAAACTGTTCTTTCCCACAGACTGTTGTCCAACTCAAGTTCTCAGCCAAATAGGAGGGGGACAGGAAGGACAAGGCAAAGACAGCACCAACCTCAGACCAGAAGTGATGATGGTGGTATGCAGGCTACTGGACAGTGTCCCATTTGTGCAGGTGAGCTGCCTCGATTACCATGGGAGGTGGATGTCATTCTAGACAATTAGTGGGCTCCAAATACAATAGGAGATCCTGTCTCAAATAATCAGTTGGAGAAGCAAGAAGATACGCAGTATCAGCCTCTGGTCTCTATAAGTGCATACATATGGTACACACCTACCAATCAGTTGTGTTACACACACACACACACACACACACACACACACACACACGAGAGTTTTGATTTGTCCAAGCCTGGTAGCAGTGTTCTTTATGCTCATAGCTGACCTTTCCCAGTAAACTCAATGTTCTGTAAGGACATCCATATCCCTCTGCACCTAGTAAATGTCTGATGAATGTTTGACAGACATATGATAGTGTCTCTCTCTCAGCAAGCAGTTGCACCGTGGCAGCAGATACTCCCTTCAGCATCTGGGGATGGCAGCTTGCCTGGGAGCAGGCCCAGTTTAATTGTCTCCTTTTCTTCTTAGGTTCCTTCAGTATTGAGACTCTTCCTCGGCATGCTGCCACTTGTGGAGAGAGCTCCCCACCCCAGCCAGCTTCTCCTGCCTCCTTGTCTTCCTCGGAGTCTGTGCTATGGGTGTCCTCCCCAGAGAGCTCGCCACCGCCTTCCTGGGTCCAGTGTCCTATTTGTGAATTACAGTTCTCGGCAACAGAAATAGAAGAACATGCCAGCGTGTGTGGGGAAGTTTTTCCAGCCTAAGCAGTGACATTCTGTTGACCCTTTATGTTGGAGCCTGGGGAATGGATCCCTTGTGGCTCAGAAGGGTTGATTCCCCTCCCTTCAGCTATTACCTCAGGACTCTGCCTGCCTGAAAACACTTTGGACCCAGCTTGCTCCTCATTCCCGTTGTCAAGGCTTTGTCACTATGGTACCCAATTCTCATAGGGATATTTTCCCCTTAGAATTTCTTTGGTAGAAATTGATGAACTCTCCAAGGCCTTAAGACACTATCTAGAATGTGTTTCCTAATGCCCATTTTCCTGAAAGAAAAACTGAGGCTCGATCAGAGGGAAAATACTGGCTGGAAATTAAAAAGTCCTATGATATTCTAGGAAGATGATGAATGAGTCTTGAGCCTGAAACTGATACCGAGTTCCATATGACCTTGACCTTCTGTGTCCTTCATGGGTGTCTGTCCCAGGTATAATCAGATGACTGCTCTGAAACTTTACACTTTACTTATCATGGGTGTGAACTGGATCTTCAGTAACAAGAAAACCCTTCATCTTCCTGCTCATAAGGTTCTTAAAGGAACCAGAGAGATTGCTTTCTAAGGAATAAATGGTTCTAGGTGTGGCTGTAAGGATTTGAGCAAATGTCATTCCAACTATTTGAGATAGTTGAACCACAGAGTCTCCCCTGGAGCTGTGGCAGTCCAATTCTGCTTTGAAGAATTATCCACGCTTCCCTTTTCCCCAGGAGAGTTCATCCTGTGACACTAACACACGTTCCCCTTTTCCCCAAGGTACAGGGCAGGGAGAGAGCAGCTGGTCCTGATGAAGGGAGGGCTCAGGGTTGGGCTTTGAGTGGAAATAAAGGAGGATGCTAGGCACAGTCAAGGGAGAGGCAGAGCTGAGTTCAAGCCTTCAGCCTCTGCCCACAGGTGGGTGCAGCCATGGATCCCCTATCGGTAAGAGACCCTTGCTTCCCTCCCCTCCTCATGCCAGTCCCCAGGGATGCAGGGACAGCAGGACAAGTATGGGATGCTGCTGGTGGTAGGAGAGCCCTTGGATCCCTGATCCAGGGCCTAGAAGAGAAGAGCAAAGGGCTGGGCCTTGTTAGAAGAACAGGACCAAACAGTACCAAGAAGAGATGCTCTCCTAAGTAGAAGGCAGAGTGAGAGCGTGTGGTGGAAGGGGAACATCTTAAGGTCCTGCTAGAGTCCTCTTCATAGAGAAAGGGTTTGGGGAAAGCCCAGCTTGAAGACCCTCCATGTAGGCATGTCTGGACTTGTCCTTCAGAGAGATGAACAGATAGAAGATGAAGTCAGCAAGCTGGGAACTGGATTCTTGCCAGATTCTGTGTGCTTGGGTAGAGGTTAGGTGCCTAGTGTGGCCCCGACCACCAACTTTAATCACTTCTTCAGGGAACTAACACTGGGCCCTGTTGTGTAGAATTTCTATGAGAATGGAAGTGAACTGAGTAAACACTACACTAGCTTTTCCTACAAGAATCCATGTAATAAAATGGTGAACAATACAGTATGTTGCCCATCTGTGTTTGGGATGAGGAAGACATAATAGCTGATTACAGAAGGTAATCTTGGGAACTCAAGAGTGCTGTCCTCTCTCCTTCACCCAGCCACAGCCCAACTGGACTGAGATTGTGAACAAAAAGCTCAAATTCCCCCCAACACTCCTGCGAGCTATCCAGGAGGGCCAGCTGGGTCTTGTGCAACAACTGCTGGAATCGGGCTCCGATGCCTCGGGTGCTGGGCCAGGTGGTCCTCTGCGGAATGTGGAAGAGTCTGAGGACCGCTCCTGGAGGGAAGCCCTCAATCTGGCCATCCGCCTGGGCCACGAAGTCATCACTGATGTTCTGCTGGCCAATGTCAAGTTTGACTTCCGGCAGATCCACGAAGCCTTGCTAGTGGCCGTGGACACAAACCAGCCAGCGGTAGTGCGTCGCCTGCTAGCTAGGCTGGAGCGGGAAAAAGGTCGAAAAGTAGACACCAAGTCTTTCTCTCTAGCCTTCTTTGACTCATCAATTGATGGCTCCCGCTTTGCCCCTGGTGTCACTCCACTCACACTGGCCTGCCAGAAGGACCTGTATGAGATTGCCCAGCTGCTTATGGACCAGGGCCACACGATTGCTCGGCCCCACCCAGTTTCCTGTGCCTGCCTCGAGTGCAGCAATGCCCGCAGATACGACCTGCTGAAGTTCTCACTATCCCGAATCAACACCTACAGAGGCATCGCAAGCCGGGCTCACCTTTCACTGGCCAGTGAGGATGCCATGCTGGCCGCCTTTCAGCTGAGTCGGGAGCTCAGGCGCCTTGCACGAAAGGAGCCTGAGTTTAAGGTTTGTTTCCCCCACCCTTAACTCCATCCCGCCCTCAGTGCCCGGTGTCTGCTGTTGTACTGGGACAGGACTGGGCTTTGTGGTGGGTGTTCTAGAAAGTTTGAGAAGTGGGAAATAGCAAATGAATGAGGCCTCATGTTTTAAGAGCTACAATTTCATCTGGAACAGGCTTTCATTCTAATGACAGCCACTTATGTGAGGAGTACAGTGTTTACCTTAGGGTACTCTAGATCCACCTAAGGGAAGAGAAGAATAGAAAGCAGCTGAACAGACTTAGACGTGACATTCAATAAAGTGTGTCCCTTAGGGATGCCCAGTGTATGTTCACTTGGAGCACTGTGTGTTGGGGCTCTCAAGCTTGTGATCATGGATGGAAAAGGGGGACAAGATGCTCCCAGGACTTTATTCAGTGTCTCTGGGGATGGTCCTCTTGCAAAGTTCAGAATACAGGAAAAGAGAGCTACCTGGCCTTTGTTTCAGGAAGGTTCTTAAGGGGAGAGGCGTTTAAGCTTGGCTGTGGAAGAGGCTGGTTAGAGAAGACAAGCAGAGAAGGTGGTTGGAATAGGGCTGAAGACCTAGCAGAAGGTATATAACGGTAGAGTGCCTGTGCATGACCAGACCTTGATCCCCAGAACTACATGTGCTGGGTCACACCTGTAATCCCAGCACCTGGGTGGTAGAGACAGAATGATCAGAGTTCAAGACCATCTTTGGCAAGTTTTAGGCCAGCCTGGAATACATGAGACCTTACCTCAACAACCCTACCCCCCAAAAAGTATGAGGACCTAGCATGGACCAAAGATACATGGAGTACCTGGCCAAGGCCTGGCATTGTACCACTTCTGTTTGTCCATTGCTGAGTCCTTGGCATTCCCTGTGTGCCAAGCCAGACTATGTCTCCATCATCAAGACTGCCATTAGGTAGGGAACCTACGAGGGTCTTAGGAAAGCCTAGGATAAGATGAGGCTAGAGAGCCAGGAGAATAGAAAGGTTCCCACCAGGAAGGAGCAGTGCTCTCAAAGGGCTTTCCCATCTCACAGCAGCTTATGGAGTGGGCAGGGCAGGAATTCTCATCCGTACATTATAGGCAGAGAGAAAACGCTCCAAATAAAACAGGATAGGGTGGAAAATATGTAGCCAAGAACTCCGCACATCTCCTTAAACTGCCGGTACTGGTTCCATATAAGGGTGGGAAAAGTAAACAAAATGAGCACAAGTCTGCTGCTGCTGCTGCTGCTGCTGCTGCTGCTGCACAAGCCTGATGACCTGAGCTTGATCCTCAGAACCCAAATAAAAATGGAAAGAGAACCAATTCTACATAATTGTCCCGACCTTCGCATGTGAGCTATGGTCGGGACATACCTGCGCACACATCACACACAATAACAATGTTTAAAGAAAGTATGGGTAGTTGGAGTTGTAGTGGGACAGGAATCAGGAATTAGAAGAGGAAAAGAGGAGGCAAACATAGTAGGTTTGAGATGCAGCGTCTTAGTGATACGGTGGGGATAGCATCAGGTAAGTGAAGGTGACACAGGACTGATAAAGTAGCATGAAATGGGCCCAGTGATGTCAGAGCTGACCCTGGCCCACGGTTCAGGGGAGGGGCAGGGACAGATTGGTCCAATGGCACACAACACTTTTCTTACAGCCGCAGTACATCGCCCTGGAGTCTCTTTGCCAGGACTATGGGTTCGAGTTGCTGGGCATGTGCCGGAATCAGAGTGAGGTTACTGCAGTGCTTAATGACCTGGGGGAGGATAGTGAAACTGAGCCTGAGGCTGAGGGCCTGGGCCAGGCCTTTGAGGAGGGCATCCCCAACCTGGCAAGACTGCGGTTGGCTGTCAACTACAACCAGAAACAGGTCAGCTGGGCCCTACTGCCTGCCCTCCCTCACCCTGGTCGCTTGTCCTGTCTCCTCTAAGGCATGTCCCGAGTCAGCCTTATCTCGGGACTTTCTCTATCCTTGGGACCTTCTGAGACCTTGATTTTGAGTACCCTTCCATATGCCTTAACAAGAGAGGAGGTTTCCCATCCTCTCCGGGTTATCTTCAATCCTAGCACTAACAATCCTTGGAAAGCTAGTCACCACCAGGATCTCATGTTCAGGTCTCCACAGACTTAGCTTTGCCTCTAGCCTAATGAGTAACTGTGGCCCAGACTTCTGCTGTTAAACTACAACGCCTCAGTCTATATGGTCGGGGGTTAAATGCCTGGTGATTTTTTTTCTTTCCTGTCTCATTTGAATCCTTACTCAACAGCCAAGCTAAAGACAAGATCCCTGTCCAGCCCCCCACAGCCCCTGTCTTTTCACTCTCACCCCCATGCAGATAGCCTGACCCACAAAGCACCTTACCAAAGCTCTCCTGCGTGCCATCTCCATTGACCTGGCACTCATGACAGGAGACCCATATTCCATACCCCTTCCCTCCTCAAGATCCTTCGTCCAGACTTCTATATACCTACCGAGGCAGGGAACACTGAGAATTCTGAGGGTAGAACACTGAGGGTAGAACTGAGACCCCAAGTTCTACCCACTCCTGCCCGATTTCAAGAATGTGGGATGTGAAGAGTCTTGGGATTCATGCTGAGGCCTACTGAAATAGCTTGCCCATGGTCACATGGCAAGGAAAGCCCCTCTCTTCTGGATGGGCTGGCATGGAGACAAAAGGCTGCTTCATCCTCTGTGGTAGGAAGGAGGGCTCTGCCGGGTGGCCATCTCCTCTCACAGTGCAACTCTGCTTAGTTTGTAGCACACCCCATCTGCCAGCAAGTTCTGTCTTCCATCTGGTGTGGGAACCTGGCTGGCTGGCGAGGAAGCACCACCATCTGGAAGCTCTTTGTCACCTTCCTCATCTTCCTCACCATGCCTTTCCTCTGCATCGGCTACTGGCTGGCACCCAAGTCCCGGGTACTAAGAATAAGATGACGGATACCTTGGTTTGTGATTTGGAAGCAAGCTCCCCACTGGGAGTGTAGGGGTGGATTGGAGGCAGGGACGGGCATTACAAAAACTGCCAGAGTGTGGCAAGAGGAGGAGTGGGGAGGGCCATGCAGGCTCCTGACTGGGTGACCCAGAGGAGCAGGTTTAATACTAATGGTGATGATCTTACCTTTCAAGTTGGTTGAACATGAAATTTTCCTGTGAGATACTTCCCCCGCCCCAAAAAAGATGGGAGTATGCAATAATACCTCACATGGTTGTGAAGGAGAGAACCAAATAGAGAAGGCTTGGTGTATACTACGTTCTTCTTAGTGCATGCCTAGATGAGTGGGTGAACATGAAAGTGCAGACACCCATGGGAGCTGAGGTCTAGAGGGCTATAAGAACAAGCAACAACAGGCCTCTGTCAGCCGTGCTTTACCCTCTCCCCCGAAGCTGGGCCGCCTGCTGAAGATCCCAGTGCTAAAGTTCCTGCTGCATTCTGCCTCCTATCTGTGGTTCCTTATCTTCTTGCTGGGAGAGTCTCTGGTCATGGAGACTCAGCTGAGCACCTTCAAAGGCCGCAGCCAGAGTGTCTGGGAGACTTCACTTCATATGGTTTGGGTCACAGGTGTGTATGAGAAGAGCCCTTTACTTGTGGCTAGCTACCAAGATTCTCGTGGCTAGGTCTGCCACTGGGCCCCACTAAAAATTGCCCACATTGAGGAGGCTGATCATTTAGACACCCTGAAAATCAAGAGCTTAAACCAGAGCTGGGTCCTATGGTACCCAACTGTAATCCCAACACTCAGGAAGCTAAGGCAAAAGGTTAGTACATTCAAAGCCAACCAGGGCTGCATAGCAAGACTGTCTCAAACAGGTGAGTGGTTTAGACAGCTCAGTGAACAAAAGCACTTGATGCCAAGCCTGACAGCCTGAGTTCAATACCTTAGATGAACTTTATGGAAAGAGAACCAACTCCCACAAGCTGTCCTCTGACCTCTGGTCATGTGTGATGGCAATGCATGCAAGTGCCCGTGCATTCATGCACAAGGAGGGGGTTCTTATTTTTCTAGAAGGTCACTTTGCACTTGGATGGATTAAATCAGCTCCCCACTCCCACAAAAGCTCTGCCATTGCAGCCTGGCTATGTCCTAGGAGGAGGAAGGGAACTTGGCTTCCTCCTCTCCTAGCCCTTCTTGGAGACCCTCCTCTCCCCTTCCAGGCTTCCTGTGGTTTGAGTGTAAGGAGGTGTG